GTGTATTCTCCTCCATTGTCTGATTGAAGGCATTTCAGATGCTTTGCTGTTTCTCTTTCTACCATGGCATGGAACTGTTTAAATATTGTAAAGATCTAGTCTTTTGTTTTCAACAAATACACCCAAACTTTCCTAGAAGCATCATATATGAAACTTACAAAATATATGGCTCCTCCTAAGGACTCAACTTCTATGGAACCACGCACATCAGAGTATACACGTTATAATACTTTTTTTTCCTCTCAGCAGAGGCATTTTTAAATGAATCTTTATGTTGCTTTCCAAACAAGCAATAATCACAAGGATCAGATAAAGTACCTTTCTCTAAAGGAATAAACTTTTTCTTTGCGAGGAGTTGCAGTCCTTTTTCACCATATGGCCAAGCCGCTTATGCCATAGATTTGGTGAAACATTGCTTGCTACATTTGCTATGTTCACGCAAGCCTTCCCATCGGTCTTTATAGCGTACAACAAAGCTTTCCTCTCGCAACGATCATTGGCCCTTGACAGAGTTTCTTGTTACCGAAGTGGCTCTCATACCTTTGCTCGTCTAAGGCGTTTACCATGATCAGATTGAGGCGCAAATCTTGAACATGCCTCACATTTTTTAATATCAGCTGGCAACCAACATTAGTCTGAATACTTACATCTCCAATTCTGAAAATCTTGGAGCATGCAGAATTTCCCATCTTCACGTTACCAAAGTCATCTGCTTTGTAAGTGGTAAACATCTCTCTACTAAGAGTGATGTGGAAAGAAGCTCATGAATCTACCACCCACTCGACCATGTTATCGCCGATATGTAAACATTCATCGACAAGCACTATAACTACTTCTTCTTCTGCGGCTACTGCGGTAGTCGTGTTGTTGTTGGTACCATTCTTATTTTAACTGGCTTCCTGCAGTTCTCGCTTCAAAATCTGACATTCTTTATGTGGCCCTGCTTTCCACAATGATAACAACCTTAATTTCTGTTTTTGAATTTTAATTTTCCTCTGGACTTGTCGTTCCTATTCCTCCCTCCTCTATTTTGACTCCTGCCCTTATTTTCCATAATAAGGGCTTGAGAATCTGCACCTCATGCCTTGTTCTACTTCTCAAACGATACCAAGGATTCTGCAATAACTTCATACTCCAACTTATCCTTTCCAAAAGTAAGAGTGGTGATGAGGTGATCGTATGACGAAGGGAGTGTCTCCATGATGAGTACAGCTTTCTCTTCATCGCTGAACTTCATATTAAATTTTAATAATTGTGAGATCATGCTGTTGAAGTTGCTAAAATGCTGCAGCATATCTACGTTGTCCGACATCTACATCTGGTACAGCTCCTTCCACAAGTTAAACTTATTGGAAAGATTCTTTGACCGACACAATTTTTCTAAAGTCTCCCAGGTATCTTTAGCAGTCTTACACTCATTGAATTCGATATTCTGGAAGATAGTATCTGAGAGATTTAGACGAATTGTACTAGCCGCAATCTCGTCCATTTGCTCCCTCGGGGCTTCGATCCTGGCTGCTCTGGTATCAGTTGTTGGGAATATGGACAAAGTTTGAATTCCCTTTCAAGATCTAATTTATATAGAAAAATAAAATGGACACCAAAAATTTTATCTCGTGAAAAACATTTCAATTTGAAAGGGAAAAATCATCGTATTAACTTCCACTATAACAATAATGAGGATACAATAATCTCTCAAGTATTAACAATAACTTAAGGAATACTCTCAACAAAAATTCTCTCACACTCACCGGTGTTGAATCATCACTATTTCTCTCACACTCACCCCATGTGGTAATCTACCTAATCTCTCTACAAAGAAAACACTTTTGTAGGCACATAAAAAACTATCTCTCAACAGCCTTTCTTTTTCCTTCTTTTGCTGCTGGAATACTTAAAATGAAATGAAGGGGGCCTCAATTTATAGAGCCCCTATATGCGTTTTACTAGGCACTGGTGCGAAATTTTTCTTCTTCAAAGAATGTGGGTTGTGCTACCTTCTTCATTTGTTTTATTAGGCACCGTTTTGGGTGCCTAACTTTTCTTCTTCAAAGAATATGGGTTGTGCCCACTGGGTTGAAAAGCAACCCATCAGTTTGCTCGTGCTTTTTTTATGAGTAATAATAATAATAATAATAAACCACTTTCGAATTTTAAAGGGAGAAAAAAAATCTCAAATTCATTTCTAAAAATGACCTAGTATAAATTTGAGGCTGTTCAGAAGTGTAACAATAAAGGAAAAGAAAAATGTATATGAATCAATCAATATAGATTAGCATCTTATTTTAGATCTAAAGAAATTTTAGAAAAATAAAGAAAAGGTAAATTTTTTTGAGAAACTGTATCTTAAAATGAAGTAGGGAAAAATATGAGATGTATATAAGGGTAGTTATGAAACTATATGAAATTTTAATTTTAAAAAGAAAATAATCTTAATTTTTAAATATGTTAGGGTGCCTTAATAAAAATTATAGAAAATTGTTAAATTTACACTTAAAGTGCACGCGTCTAGATTTTTATCTCTTATTATTGATCAATACCCTTTTTACTAATATAGTTATTTAACTAAAAAGATATTAATTAAGAATAATTGGTAAAATTTCAGATCCATACACTCTAAATGATATTTGTCTCATTTCTTTTTTAAACTTAAAATGTCAATAAAATTTCCTAAATCAAGTTCGATTGAGTAAGTGCCCAATGACAAACTTGATATAATATATATTAATAATGATCCTCAATCTTTTTATGAACGAGAAAAGTACATAATTTATCATATTTATATAATTTTAAATAATTAAATTTTATTGTGACTTTTTAATTTTTTTAATAATTAAATTTTAATTATTTATTTTTAAGTAAGGTAATATAAATAATATAATTTTTTTGATAATAATATAATATATTTTTTACCATCTTGAGTATTAGTTCTGATTTTTTTCTCGTTATCAATTGAAATGTGAGTTATACAAACAAACAAAGGCTCTCGTTTTACTTGTTAATTTTCGTGCAACTTTCTTAAGAATTGGAAAATATTAGGGGTGACAATTCGTGTCACATATCATGTTTGTGTCATGTTTTGATCGTTTCTTTTTAAATTTACAGTCAACTCGAACACGGACCGTGACACAAAATTTTTTAAACATTGCAACACGAACACGACACGACCACTTTACGGGTTGACACGAAAATGACCCGTGACACGAAATTGACTCACGAACCCGAAATTGACACGAAAATTATATATTTTTATTTAGTGTTTTACATATTAGAAATAACTTAAAATTCATAACACGCTAAAATACAATAACATTCATTGAAATTAAGCAAATAATAGTATAAAATTTAGAGTATAACTATCATGATATTACAAGTTTATAATAAAATTAAAAATTTGTAATAAAAAATATATGTATTTTTTAGTTTTTTATAATTTCGTGTCATGTTTGGGTTAGGCGGGTCCAACCTGATTGACCCATGTTTTTCGTGTCAATTTCAGGTTGACTAAATTTTGACCTGAATATTTTTTTTTCAATCCTAACCTGTAAAAATCGTATCATTTTCGAATCGTATTATTGTATCGTGACCTATATTATCGACCCTAAAAATATATAGCCCACCATGTACAAGAAGGCGTCTTGTTTACTCATATATTCATAATTTGAGCAAGGAGAAGAGATTATTAGTCAACATCTAATAATGGGTCTTCACTGCTGACGACAGTAATTGGACCTCCATGTTTGGCTTTTAAAGTATCATGGTTGCGGTGAGCAGTGATGGAGCAGGTGAGGTTAATAACTAAAAATACTAATGATGAGAATATAAGATGAAATATTTAATAATTAATGAGGTTTATGTGATTATTAATACAATACATTACATTTATATGCATATAAAAAAAATAAGAATTTGGCACCGTTTATAGTCTTGAGTTTCAAATTGTTTTTTTTTTCTTAAAATATATTTTTTGATTTAATTTCACAAAAGTTACATATACAATATAAAGTAGTTAGTTTTTTTTTTTAATTTTAAATAAGTATACCAGAAACTTGTATTTAACCAAAAACTTATTAAGAAATATTACAATACAAGGTTAATGACTTAGCAGGGGAATAGACATACACTTAAGACTTGAAAATGGGAGAATATTTTGGTACACTGAAATTGAGCTCACCTAAGTCTTTATTTGATAAAACATCTCTCAATAAGATAAGCTTTTGAGCGATGGATGGACAAAAATAACATAGCACTAAGACTACACTAAACACTGCCAAAACACTAGTCCAACAGACACAAAAGACAGACCAAAACAACGGAGTGAAAGCCCCAGTTATTACAGTGAAGAAAACACACCACAAATAAAAACACAATAAACACAAAAAGACCCCAAAATCTGCTGTCAAAAGACCTCAAGACCCGCTGTCAAAAGACCCCAATGAGAGCACTACCTAGAAAGACAAAGGACTTTGAAGGAGATACGGCTAGGCTGAGAAAATGACGTTAAAATGCAAGTGGAACTCACCCTCTACCGCCGCCGTCGACAATAAAAAACATCACCTTCAAAAGAAGCCCACCACCACACGAAACAAAGCACTGAAGGAGCACGGCCACCATCCGGCGAACGTATTAGAAACAATAACCTAAACGAACAACACTTAACTTTAAAAGCGTGTAACATCTGCTCCTACAAAAGCGCCACTCTATACACTATCACTACCACCACCAAAATATGTTATTTACTACAATTTGTCTTAACAAAATTCATTCCTCATCGTAATAATCATAGTTGTCCAAAACTAATTAGCAATAGCTCATTTCAAAAAAAAAAAAAACCAATTAGCAATAAACAAAACACTTACAAAAGAAATCAGAAAAGATGGCCAAAGTCAAAATTCTTTTGATCAGAATTCCACTTGTCCCACCGACAAAGCAAGACACCGAAACTTCTGGTATTCTATTACTACACACTAGAGTCCCACCCCAACCCCAAACATATTCCCTTTCCCCAATCAGCTTCCTCGCTCTTTCCTCTTCCCATCTTCTTCTCCAAACGATCTAACAAAACCAGAGCGATAAAAAAAAAAAAAAAAGCCTTTCATCTCTACTTCGACAATCAGCGATGCAACAAGGCGATTACGGCTCCGTTCCCTATTATCCCTATCCTCCTCACACCCAAAACCCTAACCCTAACCCTAGCCCCGATCTTCCTCAGAGCTCCTACGCCTCCGCGCCGCCGTTCTCCGCCGGTTACGGCCCCTCCGATTTCTCCGGTTACTCCCCGTCCTACCTTCCTTATCCTCAAAATCCCGATCCCGTCCCCGCTCCTCCCACGGCCCCTTCATATTCTCCAACTCCGAACCCTAATCTGCAGTCCTTCAATTCCGCCTCCCAAGCCCCGTCCTTCCCTCCGTTCGAATCCCACACGCCCTACCAACCACCGCCGCCGCCGCCGCCGCAGCAGCAATCGTACTTCCCGCCGTACGATCAGCATCAGACGGCTCCCAATTACGCGCCTCCTCCGGCGTCGGTTCCTCCGAACCCGAACCCTAGCGCTAGTCCTGCCCCCAATTCACAATTCCCGTCCTTGTACTCCGCCCCGTACGGTCAATCGGGGGCTTCGGTGCCGCCGATTTACGACAGCCCGTACGAGAATTACGCGAAATTCGATCAGACCGGGGGCTATTTCGAAGACAAGTACGGGAGTTACGGCCAGAGTCGATCCGATTTGGGGTCGGATCTGTACGGAAAGAGAAACGATTCGGGTCGAGACGACGGATATGGCGATGGCGTTTATGCTTACCAAGGGAACAAGGCCGAGCCGTACGGAGCTAGGGGCACTGTGCCGAAGTCGTCATCGTCGACCTTGTTCGATGATTATGGGAGATCGATTAGTTTCCCTTCTGTTAAAGACTCGTCCGTCAGCTCGAGCAAGATTGTGAGAGCTGTCCCGAAAGCGGATACCCTGCAAGACGTGAAGAGTGGGGTTCAGAAGTTTCGGGTCAAGCTGTTGGCTGAAAGTGGAGGCCAGAGTACCATGGACGTTCTTTGCCAGGTATGCCAAAGTCTTATTTATTTATTTTTCTTTCTTAAGTTCTTAGTTTTAGGTTAAAGCAAAACTAGTAGATTAGTTAGTTAGTAATTTTGCCAGCAATCTGTACGGGACTTCCTTCCTTAGTTTGTGATGTTGCTCGCAATCTGCATTTTACTTGTTTGCTTCATAGTTATTATGTATGTCTGTTATATGGATATTCTTTGGAATGCATTTAGACTCTTACGTTGTGGGTGAGTGGTTTTTTATTCAATGTTTTCTATAGCTGAAGATGGGGGGACATTGCATCAAGAAAGATGATTTGAGAATAGCATCGTGATTTAGTTGTATACACGTCCTTTGAAAGTTGAATTATTTCTACATTTCTTATCACAACGCTTTGTTGTTGTCTCTTTCATGCTCATTATTTCGTAAACATTGTCGTTCGTGTTAAACTCCCCTGAAAACAGGGAATGTGATAGTCTTTGGTGTTTGGGACAAGATCTATGTAAGAATGAATTGAAAAATTGAAATAATCTAGAAAGAATCAACGTAGGAATTTTATTAATCGACAGAACCTATACAATGATACGCAGATCTTCGAGGGTCTGCTTCCTCCCCTTGCTTAGAATGATTCCAAGTCTTGTCTACTTCCTGATTATTTCTCCCGTAACCGTTTCTACTTCTCGTCCCTCCCTTTTTATACATTCCACCTTATTTCCCCCCTCTGCCAGCTATCTAAGTAAGTATACTACTAATACTACAAGTTCCCACTTAAAGCTAAAAACAACTTTCTCACGATCAGGCCCTGCCCCTTCCTAAGCCTTTGCTCCTCCTAATGTACACTTGCCTGAGTAAGGGCTTATCAATTACACCCCACCCCCCAAAAAAAAAGTCACCTTGTCCTCAAGGTGGAAGGCAGGAAACTGGTGCTGCATATCCTCAAACAGTTCCCCATGAAGACTCAAAGTCTGGAAGATGGCGCCATTTGATCAAAACCTCCAGAGAACCCGTAATCGGGGAGTAACGTGTATCCAAAACCTGCTCCGGTTCAACCGGCAATGTCAAATCCTCCAACAAATTGGGAGGTAAAGATTGAGGACTATCCACCGAGCCAAGAGCCTTCTTCAATCGCGACACATGGAAGACCGGGTGAATCCGAGCATGAACGGGAAGTTGCAGCCTGTACGCCATGGGACCAACACGAGCAAGGACCGGAAACGGACCATAATAGCGTGGCGTGAGCATTTCATTCACTACCCTAGCTAGTGCCCGATGAAGGTACGGCCGAAGTTTCAAATAAACCATGTCTCCGACCTCAAGAGTCACCAAGCGGCGCTTCTTGTTGGCGTGGTCCCTCATGGACTGTTGGGCGCGGCCCAAATGGTCCTTCAAGTAAGCCAAAAGTGCATCGCGATCACATAATTGCCGCTCTAACTCTCAGGTAGCCGTAGATCCGACCTCATAAGGCACCAACCGCGGAGGATCTCGACCATAGAGAGCCTTGAAAGGTGTCATGGCAGCCGAAACGTGAAAGCTCGTATTGTACCAATACTCGGCCCACGGAACGTGCGTAAACCACTGCCGAGGGTGGTTGGAAACAAAGCAACGCAGGTAAGCCTCCAAACAGCGGTTGACAACCTCAGTTTGTTCATCCGTTTACGGGTGATTGGCCGTACTCCGACACAAAGTGGTACCCTGCAACCGGAAAAGTTCTTTCCAGAAATGGCTCATAAAGACCTTGTCGCGATCGGAGATTATACTCCGCGGAAAAACCATGAAGATGCACTATGTCACGCACAAAGGCAGCAGCCACTATATTGGCCGAAAACGGATGTTTAAGGCCAATGAAGTGACCATACTTACTAAGACGATCAACTACAACCAGAATCGAATTGTAGCCGGCTGATTTGGGAAGACTTTCAATGAAATCCATTGAAATGTCATCCTACGCACGATTTGGAATTGGCAGTGGCTGCAACAAACCCGCCGGAGACAAGGTGGAAGACTTGTGCTGCTGGCATGTGACACAGGCAGCCACAAACGACTTAACATCCCGTCGCATTCTCCTCCAATAGAACTCCCTGGCTAACCGCTTGTAAGACTTGAGAACCCTCGAGTGACCGCCAATCTTACTACTATGAAATTCCCGTAACAAGGTTGGAATAAGAGGCGATTGCAGAGGAACGACCAGCCTGTCCTTGTACAACAAATGCCCCCGATGTAGGGAATACCCCGGCAAAGAAGGATTTCCAGCCGTTAACTCCGTCACTGTCTTGCTGAGCTCGGGGTCCGATCCAACCTACCGTTGCAACTCCTCAATATCCAGCACCATTAGGGTTGTCAAGACCATTAAAAACAGCCCCATCTGCTGCCTAGAAAGGGCATATGCCACTCACTTTTCCTTCCCCGGCTTGTAGTGAATCTCAAAGTCATAGCCAAGTAGTTTACATAGCCACCGTTGATGCTCCACACTCACCAATTGCTGTTCCAAGAGAAATTTCAAGCTTTTCTGGTTCGTGTGCACCACAAAGCGTCTACCCAACAAATAGGGTCGCCACTTCTGAATGGCTAACACAATTGCCATCAATTCCCGCTCATATACTGACTTGGCACGAGCGCGCGTGGATAGAACTTGACTAAAATAAGCAATGGGACGCTGCCATTGCATCAAGACCGCGCCTATGCCAAAACCTGAAGCGTCAGACTCCAACACAAAGGGTTGAGAGAAATCCGGCAAAGCCAACACGGGAATCTCTGTCATAGCTTTTTTTAGGCATTGAAAAGCATCCTCGGCCTCAGAATTCCAATGAAAAGCGTCTTTCTTTAGTTGTTGTGTCAAGGGCCACGAAATGCGTCCATACCTTTCCACAAAGCGGCGGTAATAACCTGTAAGGCCCAAGAATCCCTGTAACTCCTTAAGGGACCGCGGAGTTGGCCAATCTTTCATGGCTTGTATCTTACTGACATCTGCCGACACTCCCTCCTTAGAGACAATATGTCTCAAGTATTCCAACCGTTCCTGTGCGAAAAGACATTTCTTTTGGTTGACATACAGTTGATTGCTCCGCAAGACCGATATGACCTTGTCGAAATGCCCCATATGGTCCTCCCAAGAGCGGCTGTAAATCAAGATATCATCAAAAAAGACCAATACAAAGTGACGCAAGAATGGCTTTAACACCTCGTTCATCAAGGATTGAAATGTGGCCGGTGCATTTGTCAACCCGAATGGCATAACAAGGAACTCATAGTGCCATTTGGGGGTGCGAAAAGCCGTCTTTGGTACGTCCGCGTCACACATACGGATTTGGTGGTAGCCCGCTTTCAAATCCAACTTGGTGAAAATAGTGGCGCCACACAACTCGTCTAGCAACTCCTCGATCACCGGAATATGAAATTTATCCGGGACCGTGGCTTTGTTTAACGCCCGATAATCCACACAGAATCCCCAACTGCCATCATTCTTCTTAACTGACAAGACCGGGCTAGAGAAAGGACTCGTGCTTGGTTGAATGATCCCCGCTGCCAACATCTCTTTTACTAATTTTTCGATTTCATTCTTTTGAAAATGTGGGTACCAGTAGGGTTGAACACTAATCGGCCTCGTGCCTTCCTCTAGGATTATGTGATGATCCCTCACCCTATGTGGTGGTAACCTGGCTGGCATGTCCAAAACAGCCGCATGTTTATGCAATAACAACTGAAGCTGTTCATTGCCTCCTTCCTCAACATCAAGGTTTTGCTCCACGCCTAATTGGCTCATCTCCAAATAAATTCCCTGGCCTTCATGACGAATGGTACGCATCATGGCCTTAAGGGAGATTAACGACCTCGTGAGGCTAGCATCTCCTTTCAACATTACACTTTCCCCATGCACCTTGAACCTCATGGCTTGAGTCTTCCAATTGACATGCATACTACCCAAAGTCTCAAGCCATTGCATTCCTAAGATCACGTCTATTCCCCCCAACTCAAGCAGCAAGAAATTCTCAATTATAGTTAAGTTTTGCATGGTTAACACCACCTCCTTACATAATCCCTGCCCTTGTACCGACTCTCCCGTGCCCGTTTGGACACCAAAACCGGTTGTAGGAGTTATTGGCAATGATAAATCGGAAACTAATGTAAGGGAAATAAAATTGTGCGTAGCACCGGAATCTATTAAAACAATTACCTCGTGGTGGCCAATCTCCCCCTTTATCTTCATGGTCTTTGGTGTGGTCAATCCTACTACGGAATTCAACGACAACTCAATCACCTCCGTCCGTAGCAAATCTTCTGGCTCCCCCTTTGTCTCCTCCAATTCGATTTCCTGGTTTTCCCAATCATCCTCATCGCTAACTAACATGATTCGCAACTCTTTTTTTTTACAGCGATGCCCAACCGTAAACTTTTCGTCGCAACGAAAACAAAGCCCCCTATTCCTCTTCTCTTGCCACTCCGAATCGGACAACTTCCGAAACGGAAAATCCTTTCTCGGTCTCTCAACGATCGGAATGCTTTGGGGTTGAATTGGATTGCCTTGGGGCTGATTCGCCGTGGCTCCCACAGATGGATTGGCTGTGAACCCCGCCGCTGGGGAATGCCAAACCCGAGGCCCCCCCATCTCCCTTCGCAGCAACATATTTTTCTCCTCAATCCTCTGCGCATGATTTCGGATAGTCCCTCCAGCTTTGAGTAAACGCAATTCAGCCCGGATGTCAGCCCTCAACCCATTTACAAAAATGCCTTTAAGAATCTCCTCCGGCACCTCCTGTAAAGGAACGGCCGATACCTTGAAGTTCCGTCGATACTCGGCCACCGTTCCCGTTTGCTTAATCGCTAAAAAACGCTCACACAAATTCCCTTCCTGTGATGAACGGAAACGTTGTAAAAGAGCCACCTTGAAATCGATCCAAGTGATGAAAGGTCGACGTTGGTTCTGCCATTGGAACCACGATAAGGCATCTCCTTCCAAAGCTATTCCCGCTGTAATTAACTTCTCTTTCTCAGAAAATCTGTTGATGGAAAAATATTGGTTCATCCTAAACAATCAGCCATCCGGGTCAATTCCACTGAATAATAGACAATCTAGCTGTTTCCTCCTAACTGGAGAAAAGTCTTCACCTCCCCACGGTTCCCCGTAGGTCCCCAGAAAATCCATGGACTCACCAGCCTCATTCTCTTCCCAACGTCCCCTGTTATCTCTGCCACCATTTCCGAATCGACCTCTCTCGTGTCGACCGTCCATCCTCAGCCTGGGTCCTCCGTTTCCGGTGCGATTTCCTCCTCCTTCAACATCTCGACCTCTGGGCCAGTCTCGAGCGTCCTCGGTAATTCCTCCGATGCGATAATCGTCGCGCCGCCCTTCTCGGAGATTTCTGTCTCCATCGCCGGTCTCGCTATCCCTGGGTCGACCATTCCGGCCGTCGCGGTGGAAATCAGGTCGGATTTCGTTTGCATCCCGAGCCCTAGCACGCGCAATTTCTCCGTCCTCCTCTAATCGACCCGTGATTTCGCGATTTGCACCTTGGGCCACCCCTACTTCATCCTCCCGAATTCTCGCGGCTCTCGATCGTGAACCCTCCGCCGGTGGAATCGCTGTCGCCGCCGCGGTCAGCAGTCGCATCTGCTCCTCCACCAGTCTGCGCAGTTCCGACACATTCTGACTCACTTTCGCTATGTTATGGTTGATTTCGGCCCTTACCTCACCAATTTCTTTTTCCACCGAAGCCCTAACCTGTTGAATCTCCTTCTCCATTGCATCGAACTTCTCCTCGGTTTTCCTGGCCGCCATTAACACCCAGGGAAAAAAATATTTTGCTCTGATACCAAATGATAGAGTCTTTGGTGTTTGGGACAAGATCTATGTAAGAATGAATTGAAGAATCGAAAGAATCTAGAAAGAATCAACGTAGAAATTTTATTAATCGACAGAACCTATACAATGATACGCAGATCTTCGAGGGTCTGCTTCCTCCCCTTGCTTGGAATGATTCCAAGTCTTGTCTACTTCCTGATTATTTCTCCCGTAACCGTTTCTACTCTTCTTCCCTCCCTTTTTATACATTCCACCTTATTTCCCCCCTCTGCCAGCTATCTAAGTAAGTATACTACTAATACTACAAGTTCCCACTTAAAGCTAAAAACAACTTTCTTACGATCAGGCCCTGCCCCTTCCTAAGCCTTTGCTCCTCCTAATGTACACTTGCCTGAGTAAGGGCTTATCAGAATGCACGTTGTTTTGCTTTGAATAATGGCTTTCTAATTTCCCATGATTCCAATAATTACCTACTAATTGTTTACTTTAAATCATGGACTTTCTCTTCCTATTATTCTAATCATAATGCTTTTCTCTTATGCGCTTTGCTTTGGAACTCCATCCTGTCTTTCACGACCCATCCTTTTTCAAATAATATTGTGGTTATAATCTGCTTAAATTTTGGTCATTCAGATTGGCTTGGATGGGATTCGCATGCTTGATCCCAGTACCAGTCGGACATTGAGGATATATCCCCTTGAAAATATTACTAGATGTGAAGTAAGTTATTTATTTCCAAGTTTTTCGTAGGTTTCATTTCTTGCTTTATCTTACTTACATATTGTTTTCGTACAGAAAATGGATTCATCTACCCTGGCAGTTTGGTCAAAGAGCTCTGTGGACATTGAGCCAAGACGTATTAGACTGCAATCTAATAGTTACACCGCTAACACACTTCTGGATACTGTGACTGCTGCTACTGTACAGGTCGGAGTTTTTAATAGCAATCTGTTCTGTCTTATAATAAAATAGTATTTTTGTTTGGTTCTTGAAATATTCTTAGTGGCTAACTGCTATTTGATGCTTTTCTGTTTTCCATGTAGTAATTTGATAGGTTCTATACATTCATTCCCATAATTAGTTTATGTGCAAGGTTCTGTATCTATTACTTAAACGCTAAAGTGAGTCATGTGACAATCTGTTAGTCCTCCACTGAAGTTTGTCTACTCCAGGAAACGCAAGGGGATGGAGAGTGGGAATAGAGGAAGTGTTAGGGGGGAAATTGTAAATTCGGGAACTAGGAGCTAACGTGGAGAAGTTTGTTAGAAGGATAGTAGGAGTGAGGGAATTTAAGGGTGTACGGGGACGGGAGGAAGGGTAGTCAGTTATTCTAGAGTGCGTGAGCATTGGGAGGGTG